AAAAAAGCCAGAACAACTCGTGTTAGTAATAACAAATGTTCACTGACATCTTTACTTTCATCCTCCCCTCCACCCAGATTAGCTGAATGAATTGGACTCATTCACAGTGAGTGAAGAGCTGAAGAGCAGAACGGCTCGCTCATCAGCCAGGTCCGCTGCTGGGTCATGCAGTGATATTGTGTGAGAGAATGAGATTGTTGCTACATGCATCCTGTCATACTGTAGATACACGTGTCGGAGAAACGTCCGAGAAGGGAGCGGCAGCAGCAGGTGGACTGACGAAATATTTGTAAGACCTCTGATCTTGTGACGCAGATGTGGCATATTTCAAGATGCAAGATGGGGGAAAAAATTGCTGATTTATGCTGTATCTTTTTAATAAATGTGCTATTTTTATCAGAATTTGGCCTCAAACTGTTTTCATTTTGTTTGGGTCTCCGGTGAGATTGAATGTGTCGGAGTAACTGTTCGGACCGGAGTTCATCAGGGAGTACATGTCGGATCTCCTGTTTGTTCAGGTGTTCGCCTCACCTTTTTTCCACCAGCAGCTCACGTCTGAACACGGTGAACTGAACCCCATCTAGCACTGATGCAGACAAAATGATATCAAAGTATTCCGGTAATTAATTTTTATTAAAGTGAAACTTGGTGTGTTGATTTGTAGTATTTCTGATCAAAACCCAAAATTCAGTTAGAAATTTACCCAAAATGAATATTTAATTTTATAACAAGTAGGGCTATAAACATTCAGCAACTTCTTTCTAAAAATGAAAAGGGGTAAAAAGATTGCATTAATTCTGCTAGTTATGTGCTTTATTTCCATGGGGGTTTTTTTTAAGTTCTCATTTTTGTTGCTGGGAATAGACTCAGATTTTCTAGACTAAATAAAACCCAAAAAGTTGTCCATCTTCTGTTGAGAAACGGCTTAGTCTTACTAAAATATAGTATTTATTGCTGAGCAAATGGGGAGGAGGAAAAATTCTCAATTATTTCGTGCCTTTATTTCTTGGAGAAACAATTTCTGTGTGGAGTCTCAAAAACCCTCAGTCATTTCTTAAGTGAAATGCTACTTTTATGGTTTACAAAATTATTCTAATATACAATTGTAATAAAAATTGTAATCACTTATTTTTGTTAGAAGTACTGAAATTAATTTGGTTTTCCAATAATACACCAACTAATGGCGATTCAAGTGTACATATTAGTGTTGGATCTTTTTTCTTCTTCAGAGTAACATGAATTTAGCTGAGGCTGTCAAGGTCGCAGCTCCTGTTCCCACGCTGCGTTTGCTCAGGTGTTCTCACCATGTTTTTCCACAAGTCTTTAATCAGAAGCTAATATCTTAAATAAGCTGAACAATGTGGACTGAAACATCTGGTAGCCAAGAAGACCACACATCATTTTTCCAGAACCTTTTATCACCAATGAATGACAAAATAAACTTTTAGAACAAAACATTTACATAAAATACTTATATATATATATATATATATATTTAGCTTGCAAAACCAATATAAATTATAAAACTTGACATTGAAGTGCGTAATACTGTTAAAGTTTTTAGCTTTTCTGATGGATGAAATGCTTCCACACTGAAAAGTCCCATCTTCATGTGTAAAACACAGCCATGAAGGGAGCGTCCAAGAGCTGAACAGCCCCACTCTCACAGGGGACCCCCGATCCGGCCCGGCTGCAGCCCAGAACCAGGCCCACGTCCCGAGCCAAACTTCTATTGTTCCTATCATGCCACGCTTCTCCGTCGGCGTCCTGCACAATTCCTAAAGACGTCTTTCTGTCCTCGTTGGACAACAGTCTCCCCAGCTGCGCGTCTACCAAGCTGTGACTTCGGCCTCCGTCGCCGGCCGCCTCCTGCAGGAGCCGGAGAAGGAAGAGGAGGTCCACTCTCAGCTCCACTGCGTCACCGTGTGACGCTACGCTGTACCTGCATCGCAAAGAAACGTCACATCCAGGATCAGTTTGTTCCTAAAGGTGTGACATCTCATCTAAAACAGGAAGAGTCATGTTTTTCTTACCTCGTCGGTAAATTCCTCTTCGCCATGAAGGGGATGACTGGGCTGATGTCGAGACGCATCGGGTTGGAGAGGTGGAGATGAAGCTCAGCTCTGGAGGCCGTCGTCACTAAGATCTCCCTGGTGAGGACGAACTCCACACCTGCAGCTGGAGGGGGAGGGAGCAGAGCATTCAGTCCAGGATTTCATTCCAAAGGAAAAGCGTGGTAGGAAAATGTGCAGCAGGAATAATCACAATGTTGATTATTCAAAGGATTGTCAAAAACCCAAACCACGAATTCCCACGATTTTCAGCTTCCGATACACAAAATAACAGCAGAAGAAACTCATGAATAAATATTTCTATCAACTTCATTCTGTCTGAAGTGAAATGTTCATGTCAAACATAAAAGGTTAAAGAATCCAAATATGTCTCACATTATGCATATTTATGCATCTAATTTTTATTCGTCACAATTTCTATCCATCCATCCATTTTCTTTACACCCTTGTCCCTTAGTGGGGTTGGGAGGGTTGCTGCTGCTTATCTCCAGCTAACGTTCCGGGCGAGAGACGGGGTTCACCCTGGACAGGTCGCCAGTCTGTCACATTCACAATTTCTATTCTTTCCAAATTATATACAATTGATTTATTATCTCTCTAATTATGTTAAGCAGAGGGAAAATGACAGCACCCCGTGTTGATGTTTTAACGTCCTTGTTAATCTCTACTGGAAACCTGAATAATTTATGGCGAGCATTAGACTCGGCTAGGATTCCTCTGTATGCCGATGACATAGCGGTCATCTCAGCTGCAGTAATCATGGCCTCAACATCCACACTGTGAAGCGCCGCTTCACGTTTGGTTCTTCTTTCTCAAAACCAACTCGTGGCATTTATGAGCTCACCATTGTTCGGCCTGTGTCTTTCTCACATGTGGTTGCTACGCATCATTTCCTCTTTCACAACGCCTCTCTGGAGTCTTCTCATCCACTTAAGCTTGGAATAAAATGATGCGTTACATTTTTGCATAAAAAAAAACAACTCTTGACTGTAACACTGTGCCAGTGTGGTTCTCAGCTAGACGTAAAAATGACCACGTTTGCATTTCAAATGTTAGGATTGAGAACTGGGTCAGACCTTATGGCACTAGCCCAGGGCTCCAAGTTTTTTGAAGGTGGAGGCCCAAAGATTTAGGATCTTTTTGTAATGAACACATGTCCCACAAGCACTCCAACACCTTACATAAAACTCAAAGGCTCATATGAAATGTGGAGTTTTGGTATTGCTGCATTTTTATTAGTGTAGGATATGCAAATCAGATGTACTTTGGAGTGTGTGTACTCCATAAAGTAAGCAATAAAATAACTAAATTCCTGTTTCAGTCAGTCTTGACTAAATCCTGCATTGCAGTTACAGACTACAGGAAGTACAGTTTGTGGTGTTGCGTTTCATTTATTTAAATATCTGTTATTTACTTTTAAGCTTCCTAAATGTCACTCACTCTCAGCCTGAACTCAGGTTCACAAACTTGGGTCAAAAATGAGGAAAGCTGCAGCATTTCTAAATCACATGTAATAAAACATGTGCTAACAAATTAAATTAGGGTTGTTTTAGGATAGACTGGAAGATTTTTATTTTTATTTTTTTTTTACTATTGCTACTCAGACTTTAATCTAAAGTTCTGTCAAAAGAAAATTACAAATTTTAGTGGAAGAGCCTCATCGTTGCCATTTCTTTTATTATTTAGTCTTAAATAAAATTTCCGGACAGGACTGCACAGCGGAGCAGCTTCCTGGCAGGAGGAAGGTCCAGCGGAGTTTGTATGTTCTCCCTGTGCATCATCGGGTTCTCTCCTGGTACTCCTTCAATGGGCCAAAAATCAAAACCACATTAGCTTGTCTTTCTAAATTGTTTGTGTCCAACTATAGCCAAGAACCGGAAGTATTTATAGTATCGCTGACCGCGTTTCCTCACCTCCTCTCAGTCTGCTTTGAATCCCCTTGACACTCCTGCAGCCCAGTCCCTGCTGACAGCAGCGGTAAACCCGCCGGATGAAGCTGAAAAGCGACTTCCCGGGAAAAACCAGACCTCGCGACGGTCCAGGGGAAAAGGGCCGCACGCGCAGCTGGAGCACGGTGCTTCCGCGCTCGGCAGCCGGCCGCTTGTTTTCCAGCCAGGCGGCTCCCAGCTCCGCGCAGCGCTCCCCGTGCGTCTCGGCGGCCACCCCGCGCCTCCACCGCCTCACTCCGTCCGTGCGTAAAATCTCTCCAAATGGTCCATCTCGGGCTCGCGGAGACTGTAGCAGAAATCCGAAGGAGTCCACTGCGCGACCTAAAGCTCCAGCATCGCTTGTGAGTAAGATAATAACAGAAACAATCCACATGCAGCTCGAAGCGGCCATGATGACACCCTCAACTCTCTGCGCTTTTTTTTTTTTTTTGAACCGTGACTTCTCTCCCCCGCGCTATATACCCCACTGACAATGGACGCAGCTCGTTACTTAGAATTTGAATCTCGACCCTCCTCACGGTGCCTGCCCCTCTCTTTTTTTTTTGTCCCTGCGCCTTAACTACTCATTTGACCCCCACTGCTTTCTTCTAATGCGCCTGCATAATGAGGCGCCCCGAAGCGCGCCCACCGGGTCCATTCAAATTCAGCCAATCAGCTAATGACCCTAATCAGTCCGCGATTGGAGCAGGCTTGTTTACGGCACATTAAAACACTGAGCATTGGGACTGAAAACAGAAAAAAGAGTAAATTCACACATCATGCTGCTGCTTTTTTTTTTTTTTTTAAGAATCCTTTGGGAAAATAAACGAGGGGAAAAAAATGGAGGTAAAATTTGAGGGTCACATGCCAGTCCCTGCAGCTTTCAACATGAGGAGACAAAAGCTCCTCACATAAAGCCTGAAGTCTGTGTCATTTACTGCAACTCCTCCAGGGGATTGACAGATCACAGTATGTCACTTAAATAAAAACAACAGCGAGAAATATTTGATATTTTTATTACCGATAAACACAAGTGTGTGATATTCGTTAAAGCAACGTGATTGAGTCTAGGCTATAAAAATACCGTCGCTTTTTATCTTGTGAGAAGAAAAAGAAAATACAGGAGCAAAACAGAAAGTATCACCAGCAAAACAATGGAGCACAGTGTGTACAGTGTGCAATCAAATTCTATAAGAGCTGACGTGCACCAAGCCCACATGAGACTATATTACAGTACAACGATGTATAAATTACCCAAACTGGGACTAAAAGTCGATAGCGACTTGGAAAAGTGTTCACACCTCTTGACATTTGTCACGTTTTGTCACAATGAACCAATAAGACGTTTACAAAGTAGGAGGAAAATAATTATTTTAACAAAATTCTGGAGAGCATTTGCTCCAGGGGTTAAGGGGAATGTCTCTTCCAGCTTTGTACATCTTAAGACTGAACATTTTGTGACGTCTTCTAGGTCAGACTTTGACTAGGCCATTTTAAAACCTGACTATGCTTTGATCTAAACAGCAGCGGTAAACCCATATAGCAATCTACATCGCATTATAGATTGCTATGTGGAAAAAAGGCACCGTTAGCTTTCCTGTTTAAATATTTAAGGCAGTAATAACGTTTCAAAACAAAGTACATCTTACCGTAGAACAGTCAGTGTGTTCGGGTGAAGTTCAGCAGGAATGAAAGAATAATTTTTATAAAGTTCAAAAGCTTGATCAAAATCCTTAAGCGTTTTTTTTTTTTTTCCTAGTTTATTTGTTAAATGGAGTTCTGAATCCTGCCGTCCATGGGGTCACAGCAGCTTGACCCCGTGTTTGAGGAGTCTGTGCCGGGCCTTGCTGGGCAGCGAGAAGGCGCTGTCCTGCTGGTTGGGAATGCCCGAGTTCCTCATGGTTCCCCAATGCTGCTGGAAGTAGGTCTCCTGCGCCACGCTGCGGGTGCCGTACACAGCTGTGCCGGCGTTCCTGTGGCGACGATGAGCACAAGAAACAATGAAACCCTCGGCATACGGAAGCAAAGCAACTGCTTGAAACTTTAAATGTAAAGGGGCAGTATAGTGTATTTTCCAAGCACATAAGTGCCATTTTATAGCACAATTAAGCAGCTACGTTACCTCAGTTGTGATAAAAATGCTCCATATATCAAATATGATTTAAAAGACATTTTACTTTGTAATTCAGCACCTTGAAATTGGGCCCATCTCTTTTAAAACTCCTGCTCTTTCTGAAACACTAGCCTGCAGGAGGCCACCAAAACATGGCTCCTCTATTAACCTTTTAACAACGTTTCAATCAGCGTTTCACTGATTAGTAACTCCTGTAATGAGTTCAGCAGCTGGAGTTTCACCAAGTGTTTGCTAATTGTTGCTGACTAGTCTGAAGGAGCTGAGTGGGGTGAGTGCCGTGAGATGGCAGCTTGGAAACGGCAGCTCTGAGGAGGAGCTGCACCTGGAAGGTGGCACTAGATCCACCCAGGCGTTTTACACAGCTGAATGGTTGCCGTGGAGATTAAAAGATTTCTCAAATATGCATTAATGAATCAAAGTAACACTCCAGCTGATGAAAGAACATTATAACACAGTGAAAAGCTAAAAAAGTCAATTTCACATGATGCTCCCCCATTAAGAAAAGGCAGTAAAAAATGTACATCATGAATGTTAAACATGGCAAAAAAAAAAAAACTCCCCTCCCCCGACCTCAGCCGTGCTGACCTTATAATAGCCTCCTGCAGAGTCTCAGTGTCAAAGAAATGCGAGTGGAGAAGCGATGTGGCTCGGACAAAGGGATGCTCCGGGACTCCCCCTGGTCGGCCAGACACGTTGGCTGCAGAGACACACAATGACACAGGACCATTAACCGGGCCTGAGCATGTCTGCTGCACAAAGGAATGCTGATCACAGTTTTACTAATTAGCCGTTGGCTCATTCAAAGACAAGAGTCCCTCCTCAGATCCCGGCTTGTGCTCTCTCTGGCAGAAAATGTTCAAACCGGGAAGATGGAAGTGCGTGTCTTACTTGTCAGAGTGCTCTGGATAGAGTCGTAATGGGCGAATAAGTACGCCCCCGCAGCATCTGGGGCCACCGGAGATACGGTCCTGAGGTGGGCCTCCAGTCCATTGAGCGAAGCCAGGCTGCTGTGGTTCTGGACACATGCCACAAAGACAGGGTCAGCGTAATGTCAGGAAAAGCTTGAGAATGCCGTCTACATACAGAAGTCGTTTTCCTCACCACTTCCTCCATGGAGGCAGAGTCGCCCATGAAACGAGGGTCCACCAGCAGAGCTAGCACCAGGCTGTTGACCCGGTGCACGTACAGCGCCATGGGAACCAGAGGACTCTCCTCCAGGCTGTCGAAAGAGCAGGAACCAGAAGGAGGCTGCCTTGTCTCTGCCTTGTGACCTTTGGCCTTCCTGCAGCAGACTGTTTTTTCGTCACGAGATGCCGCGTTCCCGCAATCGGTCGTCTCGCTGGCGGCGCCGCCATTAAGATGGAGGGATTCCTCGAAGGCCGAGCCATCTCCTTCGCTGGGCATCTGGCTAACTCCACCTCCGTCGCTGTGAAGACTGTGATGGTGCGACTCGTCCAGTGTTCCTTCCTCAGCTTGATCAGCGTTCCCGCCATTAGAAAAACGGCGGATCGGTGACAGAGGAGACGGGTTGGGGGAATCCGCAGAAGAACCCTGTGACGGAGCCGGACTAAACACAGAGTCTTCGGAGCCCGACGTGCATGGGCTGAAGGACGCCCTCTGAGGGGACTGACAAGATGCTGGACGAGACGGCGTCGACTCTGAGGATGGGGTGTCCGATAACGTTCTGGAAAGCCTGGTCTTCTTTGGGGGAGTGTCTTTCTCCGGAGCAGAGTAGGAACTTGAGGGAAGAAAACCGAACCGTCAAAGCTCTCTTTTTAAGACGTCGGACTAAATCAAATGTGTTCAAAGGTGAGGTAAGAGCGACATGGCTTCAAGTTTCAAGCCAGACTTTAGAAACGGCTTATGGGGCAGTAGCCCAGGGCAACAATTTTCTTGGGGTGACCAGTTTTTTGATATGGATATATCGGTCCATATCAGATGAGCTGTAATGATCATTTCAGATCTTTTTTAATATAAAAGTCATTTTTGAGGGGAAACAACATGGAGCTATTCTCTAAGGGTTGTATTAATCCTACCATCATCAAGTTCAAAACTAATTAGATCTACCCATTAATGTACTATACTTTGCATTAGCAAGATAATTTTTATTTAGTGGATAGAGAAACAAAACAGTCTCATAATCCCTGATAACATTGACATTGATTACAATCAGTGAACAGTGAGACGTACGTAAAAAGATAGACGAGTTTTGACTTTTTTGCTTGAATCTGAATTTGAGTTGGAATCTAAAATTACACTGACAGGGCAGAAATGGATAATTCTACTCTAATCTGAGATTCTTGAAAACATGTCATGAGGCAAGAAAGGAAAACACTACCTGGATATTTTGTCAACAGGAGCAGATTGCAGGTACTGAAGCTCAGAGGGCGTCAGGAACACAGCAGTGGAGCTAACCAGCCCGCCGTCTGATGGCGGCGTGCTCGTTCCACTCGACCTCTGTGTCTTCATAAAATAAAGTAAGTAACAGTAGCTTGATTTCCTACTAATATGATAGTTTGGTTTTGAACTGAATTCTTTAATATAACCACAGATAAAATGAGCATCTGTTGAGAGGCTAAAAGCTACTAAGCTAGCTGTTTAGCCTAGCTTAGCTAGACACATGGTATGCTAGTGGATTAAATCTACAGTAATTACAGAAAAAAAAAAAGTCTTATTTTGGTGTTTTGCACTTTTATGAATAAAAACTGTAAAGAGATTTTTAGTTTCCATGTTGTCAACTAAAATAAGTTTTAATGTTTTAAAATATTCTTTAAAGATCTGGCAAAAACCAAGCCAATTCTTTAGACCTTCAAATGAACCCACTATCAGCAAAAATATATGTCTGTCTGTCCAAATCTAATTTGTACATTATTGTCACAACATATAAATGAAAATTTTGTTATGGCAAAATACTAAACCTCCAACCACGTTTAGTACTAAACCAGCTTCCATGACAGAGCAAAAATATACAAAGGACAGTAATGAACATGGGCTAGTTACTAATATTAAGATACCAAAATGTTGTACAGTTTTTTTCTGAAAACTTAAAAATAAAGTACCAGAGCAACAAGAGAATAAAATTTTGGAGAAATGCCTTGCAACCACATGTTAAGATATCAGATAAATATACAACACTACTCAAATTTAAATAGTAAATGTATGTCATAAATCTGTTATAGGAATAATAGTTGCTTTCTCGTGGTTGTTTTACTGTCAGAATCTGAAACTGTTTGACGCCAAGACAGCAGAAACCATTACAAAAAACAAATCTAGCACTTTGCCTTCCATCCACTTGTCCCTAAGGGGCTGCCATCAAATCAACAGAGCCAAACAGCCGCATTACTGCGAAGCAAAACATGAAATATTGATTTTAAGATGGACCACCAAGACGCCCTCACACGTCTAACTTCCGCTAAATGAGCAACAATTATCTTTCTTTCAATCTTTAGAGTGGATAGAAACAGCTGTTATACATGTTCTGCTGTGAGAAACATTGTGAAACATTTTTGACATATACTAATCCAGTGGTAGAAAAACCTTTTAGGAGAGAGCCTAGAATATTACAAAGTAATACGACACAAAAGTAAAAGACCTGGTCATTTACATTCATGATCCAGATTTGTTTTGGCCAAATGAAGAAAAAAAGACTGATAGATTCCAGAGGAAGAAACTGCTGTTAAGCATGATGGTTGAAATGTTATGGTTTGGGATTGCTCCTCTGCCTTAGTAACTTTCAGTGGACCATAAATTTAGTATCTTAACAGATGAATGAGGGAAATGATATGTTAAGTTCTACCTATATGTTTCTTTTTTCTTCCCAAGGCTCTCCAACTATTCTAATACTGTATTTAGTGGCACTTGATTACGGCAACATTTGAACACAATATTTCCTACCTTAGTGAACGTTTCACTCTCATGAACCATGACCTTGATTGTTAGCTGTGGAGGCATCTGTGTGCTGACAACTCTTGAAGATATAAATAAAACGTTAGATATATGTAAAAAAAAAAAAAAAAGACAACAAATATCAGGTTTGCCTTCTTAAAATGCCAGCTCACCTCCCTCTAAAAAGAACACAGCCTGCTAACACCAGGGGGCAGCGCTGGCACGCCTGGAGAATGAGGGCAGCTTTGAGGAGAAGAAGTGGGTCAACCTGAGAAGAAACGTGAAAATAGTTACATTTCAGGCCCTGCAGGAAGAAAACTACCCAGATGGGATCAGCTACAAACATAGACCTAATTGTGAAGTGGAAGAAAAGCGATTTTAAATTTTTTAAACAGAGTATGGTATGGAAAACGGCATGGTATTTTCTTTTCTAAGAGTTCTTGGCGTGTCTGTTTTCAGAAACACAAAACTGACAGACACACCAAAGACTTGAATATGGCTCTATAAAGTACTGACCCAGATGGGGGCCAAGTACAAACTGAATGAAAAGGAGCCACAACTAGATATTCAGTGTAAAGAAATGAACATGTTTTTCAGAAAAATGTTATTTCTGTTTAAAATAGACTTTTTTTAATTTAATCGATCACATACAGCAGAGGAGTGAAACTCATTTTAATTTTGGGCCATATCAAAACCAGATGCTCTTAAAGGGCCAGTTGTGCCAGAATAATTGGTAAAACCAATTAAACTGTTCCTTGTTTTAGTGGGTTTTTTGCAATCAAAATAGTAGATTTTGTGGTGCCAATTTAGATATGTTTGTGAGAAATTTTTGTGATATTTGTGCTAATGCATAAATGTAATTTCTTTTTACTCCCCATATCAAATATGGATTATAACTTGACATCAAGTAAGGCTGAGGCAGCAGTGACTTAAACTCAATGGTTTTTTTTTTTACCAATTTTGAGAAAATTTGCAGTAAAAATCGGGGGAGATTTGTAGATTTTTTTGTGAATTTTGCAGATTTGTGAAAAACCGGAAGGACTTATTAATTAATCAAAATGGCAAAAAAAACAAAAAAACATTTACTTAATGTGTAATGAATCCACGTAATCTGACTTTTTCTGAAAAAATTTAATTGTCAAAACAATTTAACTACATCACCGTATTAAAATGTCGCTTGTAAACTTGTAGATTGTGGTTTTGGTTTGGTTTTCAGTGCTGTCTCCTGGAAACCTCTTTCTTTTTTTTTTTTTTTTTTACTAAAAATTATTAAATCATTAAAGTCCATTATGGGAAATATGAAGGATTTTTGATTCAAAAGAAAATGTAGATGATTTTCAAGTCACTGCATCCTGCTTATGTTAACAAGCATCAAGATGTAAGCAAGGTAAGTATGCAAGCTGGAGATATTTGCACAGTTTATTGAGACACAACACCACAGGACCGTTTCACAGAGTCACATCCTGTCTCATCATCAGCAGTGCAAGATAAGAAGCAAGCAGCCGAAAGCAGAACTCTGGCTATGTTTGCTTACATTTGTCAGGTCTAAGGTCCTCACGCTTTGTAAGATGTAGTGCAACTCGGACGGTCCAGACAGAACATGGGAAAGGTACCGCGCCCACTCAGCGGCCAGAGTTTCCTTACTGTTGAACTGCAGAGAAAACCAACTTCACTTTACAGAATGCAGTGGGAGGAAACAGATTTGTGGTAGAAACAAAGCGATCAGGTCCGAAATCTGAGCGTAGTGACGGATTCAGATCCGAACCTTCAGAGACGCATAAAGACAGCTACAAAGTCGGCCTTCTATCACCTGATGAACATTTCCAGGATTAAAGAACTAATGTCCCAGCAAGACCTGGAGGTCTCATCTGTTCCGTTCACATAATTTTTAAAAAATGTACAGCAGGTTCTCTGTTTTTAATGCATTTAATCAATGGGAAAACACACATTTTCCACAGAGAGACAGTCAAGGGAAAATTTTCTGATTCAAAAATCTGGCTGATATTTCTTATTTATTCTTCAAAACATAAGCACATCCTTAACTTTTACACTTTTTTAGATATTTATTTTGTTGCAATGCTTCCTAAAGAATCCAATATACACACAGTAAAAAATGCTGGGTTATTTTCATAACCCAATTTC